CACGACTCACCTTTGCCACACTGCTGGAAATACCGTATGCGAAAACCTATAAAAAAGTGCTTTTGGATTCAAAAAAACTATGTCGGCAAAAAATGCCGCCTGCTCTATGAGGAAATGCCCACTGTGACATTCTCCTTTATCTGCCAGCCGTCAGTGAAAAAAGTTTTCATTCACCTGCAAACTCCAACCTGCCTGCAACTTTCAGTCAGTTTAAAATGCAGGTGATCAGCTCTGATTCAAACATAGAAGAGACATCAAATATTGAAATATCATGATAACGCAGTAAAATGACTAACATAGAATGATGGTCCCTCGAATAAGTATTAGTTTGTTCATCTGAAAAAAAGGCACGTAGAAATATAGAGGAACAAATGTGATGTTTTTTCGAAAAAGGTTCAGTTATCGTGTTTCCGCGTAGAACGTACTCATGCGTGCTGTGATGAACGTTACTCTGCATAATTTTACAGAGTATTCTAGACAAAATCAAACTTTTTCCGATCTCTCCACATCATCTTTTAATAAGCTGTATTCCATTTATGAAAGGCTCCTAAGACATTTCCTGAAGTTTTTGAGTCCAGTTTGCTGCGTTTGACGATCTTAGTCGTTCAAAAAGTAAAGAAAGATGTTTAATCTTTGTACTCACTGTATGAAAAGAACCGTTTTAGCAGATCACTTTCGATGCCAGCCAAATAAAGCTTGTGTAGAGTATATAGTAAAGAATCTTATGAAAAGCCTAAATCGGAGCTCAAATATAATCAGTGACCTTTCTTGTCTCTGGTTTTGTAGACATGATGAGTGACGAAAAGAAGAACACATCAGAAGGGAGACGAATAAAACACTATGTAAATGAAAGATAATGAAGAGTCGAGATCTGAGATTAGCAGATACACTTTGTTTATGGGATACAAGCACATACAATCAGATAACATTTGGGATCGAATCGATAAATGTCATCTTTTTTTATCTAAGAAAGGATTATAAAGGTTCATTATTACTCAGGACGTCGAAAAACGGTGCGATTAATTGTTTATTTAACCACCCATTAACAACCCATCCAGTGTTTTTTAAATGGATATTTATAGACTATTGCGATAATTTTTTGACCGTTTTTAGACATTTCAACTGGGAGTGTATTAATGTCTAAACGTGGAAGCTTTTCATGATCAAAAAATGAACATTTTCTGATGTCTGTTTCGAAGCTATGTTTTATACCATTATCCGTTAATAATCTATTTTTCGAACGTTTTCTGAATTCAGTTTCTCTCTGATTAAGAATCTCACAAACACTGAATTTCAAAATTTCAATATTTTTATGCCTTAAAACCATGGTGTCATCAATAGTACTAGTTCCAAAACTAGAGGCTGTCTGCTCGGGACAACTTTCGATAACTTGCGTAATCCATGAGAAATATGCCGAGAAAAGCATACCCTGTAGTTAGATTTTTCTTTCAGCTTTACTTTAGGTGTAAGTTAAAGTTTTAATTCGCACCATCTGCTATACCATAGGTCAATTTAATCATTAAATACATTGAAAGTGAAATTCTAATTATATCTAATAGGTGTTAACGTAAGTGACGCTAGAATTACAACATAAATAACTCAAACATATCTTCAATGATATGATATACATACAGGCTATTTAGTTTCATGTTGAGAGGACATAGCGATCTATCTAAAATAAGTAATTGCCATGTAATTTGATTTCTAGGCATAGAAATAAGAATAAACAATCGAGTATAATTCTGTTAATAATCTTCTTCTGTTTTGTCCTCTCAATGTGTGCAAATCGCAATTGTCATTTCACATGTACACTTCTTCTATTTGGGATAAAAATGTCATTAGTCGCTTGGGAGAAAATAAATAACAAAAAAATATAGATAGAGATATAGAATGCAGAAGATACATGGCAAAATGGAAAAAGAAAAGGAATCTTCTATTTTGTCATGTGAGATAGTCTGTTACTCCATGTATTTGTCATAGTTGTTTTCTTTACATTTGGTTCACCAGAATAAGGTGTATGATACGAAAAAGTACTAGTACGACAAGGTATGAAACAATATGTGGTGTGATATACAATTTCTAGAAGAAAAAAGTGAATAATGATATTGTATATAAAATCAAGAGTTAAAGTTTAATTTTTCATTTATTTCTCAGTGTACGTAGTGAAAAGTATAAATCATATCAGCTGATTTTTTAATATTTCTGCAAAACAGTCATTCTGTTGCCATTACAAGTAGTCAAGATATCTGTATAAGTATGTAGTTCCACGTTTACATTATGAAAGAAAAGCTACGAAACATTTTTCTTCTGTCAAATTATCAGATCCTGATCAGTGTTCTTTTTTTCTTTCCTTCATCACACTTTACCACTGTATAATCTATCTACTTGCACTAATTTGAAAATGAGATCAGTTTAACCTCTCTCGGTTAAAATCACGAAAATAACAAAGAATTGTTGTTCTTCTTCTATTCGTATAAAAAGTATTTTGTTCAAATCTTTCTCTCTCTTTCTCTCTCTGCTTGAAATTTCCCTAACGGCACGTCCACTCGATTGTAATCAGTTTTATTAACATAATCACTTTAGGTTCTACTTGAAAAATAAAGGGATATCCTCTCCAATTTCATTAATTGATCATAGAAACAAAGTATATTTTATTTCCGATTCAATTGTAAAACCTATACTTCTACAATTTGAAGAATACATAGATGACAAGGTTCAATGTTTTACAGTCATACACGATGAATTGTTAGTCTGGTTTCTACTAAACATTTAGATTTTTATGTATATAGTAAGTGACAAATAATAAATAATTGTTTTGTGTCACAAGTAATTCAATTTAACCTATTTTGACAAGAGGCGAATATAGAATATATAATACGAGAATACATAAGAATGACTTTAGTCTAAAAATCTTCAAATAAAGAAAAAAAAAAGAAAATCAAAAAGAGAGTAATTACATACTGGACGGACAGATAGATAGATAGAAATGTGTTCAGACTGAATAAAATGACGTCGAGTATGAAGGATTGTTGTGATTAATAGAAAAAAATTGCAAAAAATCGTCAGTTATTATCTGGAGTGGAACCTGACTAACTTTCCTTATTTTTTACGCTTTTAATTAATTTCCAAAAATATAAGATAAATTGGAGTAAGTATAAGGCTTCCTTCATAAGAGTTTAATTGTTATGCTTAGATATGGTAAACTTTGTAAAAGAGGTTGTGACTGGCTGGATTTCTATCTAACTTTTAATGATTGACTCTCATAAAGAAAAATCAAATTATTAAAATAAGTCTAGGTCAAGTTAGAGGAAAGTATGTGATGTTGAAACAGAACATTCAATAGTTTGAGAAAAATACCTCTACAGATCATTTATGGTGCGTCATATTACAAGTGTAATATGTCTTTTTATATCATCACGATTGTAAGCGAGTTTTTAAACAAACTCGCCAGGAACATAGCAAATAAAGAGATATATATTGTGTGGACATTGCCCATATTTGATGTGAACAGAACAGGGTAGGAAGAAAATAAATACGACATGTGCAAGCCATGTCTTATTTGTTAATATGTTCCTAAGGTTCTCTTCTTACCGTACTACTCAAATGCTTACAGGTCTTTGTCAAATATAATACAGATGTTCTTTTCCCTTTCATCCACATGTCAGACAGACAAATCAATAATAGGCATCCTGCAAGTAATCTCTTCTCACGCATATGCTATGTTTGTTAATCAAAATTATCTTGTTCCATTTTCGAAATAAAGTTGACAGAACAGAAAAATGTATATCAGCTATATGAAAGAAAAATTATTAAACGAAAGAGAAAAAATAGGTCGAAACATATGTATAACATGATAATAATCAAATATTTCTATAGATATATTTTGTGTGAAATAAAGATTTCTTCTTCAATCAGCTTGATGTCTAATACTACAGGTTACAAATTCTCTAAATATTCTCTGTTTACTTTTAGTACAGTTTTATCTTTGGGACAAAAGCTGCCGTTATAATTTACATGAATTATTTCATGATGAAAAAGAAAAGAAAATGACGTTTGATTAAACATATTACCGTTTAATGTATCGTTTTTTTCCAGTAAGAATATCTCGTTTAAGATTTTTATTGATTCGTTGTTGTTGTTTATCACTTATTATTCTATTCGTCGTTCAAATTTTAACATTTTATCAAAATAAAGATAACAATCAAACACAAACTATTCGACAACAACAATTTGAACGAATACCAACAACCGAACGACTATTTTGGACAACATTAGCTGAATATGATCGACAAAATTTTGATGAACAGAAACGTTTAAAATTAATTTTAAAACATCAACAAAATGTTGAATATCAACAATTAAATTGGACAAAAATATTATATGATTCGTATAAACATAAATTAGCGACATTAAATGAACGAGATAAAACAATTAATACACCAAATCAATATAAATATGAAGAAGTGACGAACAATTATAAATTGATTAATGGTAAACGACAAATAACAATATTAGAAGCAACAACTGTTTTTGGTCAACCAAAATTTTGTACAAAGGTAAATAAGGAAATATTAAGCAAGTAATCTACTCATTGCACATTGACATTTTCAATGTACAAATATTTTTTCTTTTTTTATTCTATTAATCACAAATATATCGAATCAAAATTGTAATGAAATATAGTTTTTCATTTTATTTTATTTTAGGAGGAGCAAAAAATATTTCATCCTGCATGTCCATTTACTAATTGTTTATGGAAATGTAGTAAAGAGGATAAAACAGTTACACAATTGGATGCGTTAATTTTTCATCATTTAGATATAAATTCTGAAGAAATACAAAAATTTCTTGATAAACGTACATTAAATGAAATTTATATATTGTGGATAGATGAAGCTCATAAAAATCTTCAACATTTAAATGAATATAAATTTAATTGGACATTAAGTTTTCGTCAAGATTCAGAAATATCAATAGCAACATATGGTCTAATAGTAAAATTACAACGTCATAAACAAGAAGAACAACATTCCAATAATGAGACTTTCATTCCATACATGTTAGATAAACATTCTCATTTATTTACAAATATTTTACTCAATCATAGTTTAATAACAGTAAATAAAGAGTTAGAGCAGCGAATTTTAACAAATTATCGTTTTCGAAAAAAACAAGCACTTTGGTTTGTATCAAATTGTAAACCAAAAAAACGTTTAGAATATTATGAACAATTAAAGAAATATTTTGTAATTGATGCTGAAGGTTTGTAAATAAAACAACAAAAAAAACAAAACATTGAAAATTTCGTTACAATCTTGTCTATTATTAATTTTTTAGGTTCATGTATAAAACTTGATGAACAAAATTTATCAATTAAACAATGTGGAAAATCTGAACAATGTGAAAAAGATCAACTATATTTATCAATGTTTTATTTAGCATTTGAATCACAATCATGTACTGATTATGTTACAGAAAAACTTTGGCGTGCACTTTATCACGGTATGATACCAATTATTATGGGTCCAAAAAAGCAACACTATTTAGACTTAAATATTCCATCAACAGCATTTATACATGTTGACGATTATTCATCTGAAAAACAATTAGCAATTCGTTTACACGAAATATCACAAAATTATTTTGAATATCGAAAATATTTTTTATGGCAAACACAATATACTATATTTTATAAACCAGAAGATTTAGAACCATTACGAATGTGTGAATTATGTATGAAATTAAATTTAAATACAAAATATCGATATTATCAAAATTTACAAGACTGGCATAATCAAGGATGTTGAAACTCATTTGTTTATTCTTATTGTTATTTTATATTTTATTTGTATTGTTATTTTTTTCTTCAACTTTTCAAATAGCTAAGACTTTTTAGAATAATACTAATAATAAGTTATAATTTAGATTAAAAAATTTATTTATCAAGTTGATAGTACAAGAATCAATGGGTACATTTATATTCTTTATTGTACTCAAATGTTATAACTATTCGATTGGTTAGTGAAATTACACACATTAATGAAAACATTGCGATAATAAAAAGTAAATTAACTCTGATAGAAACATATGTCGATGTACATTTATAATATGTTGTTTTACTCACAAATATGTTAATACGAATACTCTTTAGAGAACCAAATAGAAAAAATATTTCTAGTTTTTTTAATACATTTGCAAGGAAATTATGTGAAAAATATTGTAAAAGAATCAACATACGCGCAACATTTACTATAATAACTATCAGATGAAAACATTCTATTTTTAGTTGGTAAAATTCTTTTAAGAGATGAGTGAGAGATTAGTTTAGTATGTCGCTGTACTTTATATAAAACTGCTGTAATAAAAATAATACAAAATTAGAAATTGAAAACATGAAGCAAATGTTGTATGTTTGATAGCAATATTATGTGTTTTTGATATTTGTTCATCTATATTAACTATTTTCAATGTATTTGTATTTGACATGTCCCTCAGTCGTCGGCTTTTACATAAATTTAATGGCATTAATAATCCTCGTGTTTGGTTCAAAGAAAATCGTCGAATTTTATGTTCGTCCGATGTTAATACGTACAATGTCATATTTGAACGTCGTGGTCGTGATCTAAATTGATGAATGATACGTCGAGCATTGATTATGTCAATTGGTAATAAGGTAATTGAATTATTTTCTTCATGAGATGAATGATGATCATGAAGAGATTTAGGAGCGGATGAACTTGTTTCAAATGATACTGTTGTGTTTAATTTTTTCGAAATACGTTTTTGTTTTATTGTTGAAACAGTTTCAGTTGTTTCTTGAAAATGATCTTCAGTGTTCAAGGTACTCTGTTCGGTCGACTCAGCATATCCAATTGTTGTAGCATGTTCCGTAGAAACTTGTGAAGTGTCAAATGCGTTATCTGTAGTCATACTTGATTTTGATAGTGTTGTCGTATCTCGCATAACTTCACTGCTCATTGTTACACTTGCAGATGTTGTCAATAGAGTTGATAGTGTAGTACTGGGTGATATGGATGAATAAAAACTGCCTTCTTCATTCGGTTCACCAGGTTGCAATAGTTTTTGATTCGACTTGTTTACAGCAAATCTTGACTGAATATTCGTCGTTCCATGACTCTATAATAGAAGAACTATAGTAGAGAGAGAGAGAAAGATATATGAGAAATATTTTAACAAACTTTGGGTGTAAATCGATCGAATGGGAATGCTGGCAATGTGGTTAATACTTGAAAATCAAATTCTGTAATAAGTGGTGCTATTGTGTGATTCAAATCATTGTCATTAGAAATTGTCGTATGTCGTGGATGATGATGATCAGTTGGAACAAGAAAATTTCCCTTCTGTAACCAAGCATTTAGTTTTTTAACATAAACTTTAGTTGAAAATTTTGTTTCAGATACTAATGGTATTTTTTCAATTGATACTGTAAATTTTGGTCGTCGATGATAGGTTACACGAGAAAACTTCCATTTTCGTCGTGTAGTTGTACTCGGTCGTGTTGGTCTTGGCAAACATGTCACCTGGAATAAACATAACGCTGGTAAAATTGAGGAAATATCATTAACTATCGCACATACATACCAGTACATCTGTTTCACATTTTTTTAAATCTGCATCGAACTTAGTACCATCAGGACATTCTCGGAGAACAGCACGTTGATAAACCGTACCAACGTATAAACAATGCCAATAATGAAGACAATCATCATAAAATGGATGATAAGAGTCATCTTCAGAACCCGTACAATCAAATTCTTCGTTAGGTACTGTTAATACCACATTAGAATAATACAATATGATCAGAATTATACACGTTGTTTTTGTCATTTTGTTTTCTTGTCAAATTGAACCGGAATAAAAAACACCCACTCAGGTTATATAGACTAAGTTTTATTAGAACATTATTAGTTTCTTCTTTTAAGAAGTTGAAAAATTTTGACACGTTATACAGCGATAAGATAATAGATCGTTGACGTATATCTAGTGTAATAATAGGTGGTTGTTGTATACATATGTAATAAAAATAAATCTTCTCATTAATCCATCCCAATATAACATCGTGTCTACATAAATGATGCTGAATGGAAATACTTTTGCATTTCTCTCATATTAAAGCTTAATTGTTGAGCTTATCTAATTGAGTTGACATATAAAACTGAACGCCGTCTGTGTGTACAAAAAATCATGTTTGTCACGCCTCTTGTTTACTCGGAAGGAAGAACATCATTCAACAAATAAAAATGACGTTAGAAAGACGGTGAAAAATAATTCAAAACGTAATCATTTCAAAATTTGATACGTACTTATTTTACGTAATTATAACATGTCTATTTATAAAAAAAACATCTTTCATCAGTTTCATGAAAAAAACGGTTATATATTTTGACATTTACTCAAGTTTCAAATATTTTGTAGTAGAAGTTTCAGTAATCATAGATCGATAGCACACAAAGAGAGGAACTCTATAAGGTTCAATATAAGATTAATCATCACTAAAGCTAAGAACTATATTGTTATAAAAGTTTTTCTCAAGATATGTGCGATTTCCACGATAGAAGAATACATTATTATATCACATAGCACTTTCGGGCACTTTCTAGAATGTTAAGAGCCAATTTCAGTTTAGCTTTTTCCTCTTTTTTCCAAAAACCCCTTCCCTTTTTGAGCGACTTTTCCACTTTTTCTCGTTGTTTAGCAAAAATACCAGAATTAAAACTATTTTTAGATCTGAAAGTAGTTTCAGATATACTCACCTTTTCAACATTTACACTGGCTCATTCAAAGAGACTTCTCAGTTTTAAAGATCAAGTGACTCAAGCTGAAACATTATGGGCTATTAATTTATAACACGGAAAAAATGCTCTAAGTGGGATGAAATCTTTTCTTTGATAGCCTTAAGCCGCTTTCACATATACACAACATTGTCAGTACCGTTTTTTGGCCAAAAAATGACTCCTCTTTTCCTCTTTTTTATCCTACACTCTAAAAAAACTGTTGACCTTCCTCTTTTTTCTGAAGGAACTGTTATGAAGCCAGTCTCGCACTTTAGATATAAGCTGTGACTACTTTTCTTTGAAATCTATGCCACAATCACAAATTAGATTTCTGTACTAATCTGCGAGGGAAGATCCCGAAGTGTTACATCGATTTTTGCTTGAAACATGCTTTATTATAGGTAATTTTTGATGCTGGTCACAAATCTGGTTTCCGTCGTTTTCATAAGACTTTTTAGTAACCCTATTCAAATTAGGAAGCCCTCCAGAAATCAATCAGATCGGTGAATGCTCAATTCGCTTGATTCTATTCTCGACGCGACGCTCGATAGTGAGAAGAGAGCGGCTGACTTTTCAAATGAGCTCAAAAGTCTCATAACAAAATTAACAGACTGGCTAACTCCTGAAATGAATCCACTCTTGCTACACATTCGCGACAATATTTATTTTCATGATACCACTAATGATGCAACTCTCTAGGCTCCGAAAATACTCAACGAGCAGAAACTTGGCCATTTCGAGTCTTCTCTATTTCTTCCGGATCAAGCAGCCGTCCTTATTAACAATTTTATGCGTGACAAGGTGTCGCTAGATTACTTTTCAAGTCGTAGAAAAGAGTACTTTCTTTCCAATTTTGTGTCCGTATTTTCGGAGAAAACGTTGTCAGCAACTGGAAACTCAGTTCTATTTTTTCAATTGTTCATGATACAACGTCTTTATTTCGTTCCTGTAAGTTCGATTGAATCGACAAACTTTCTACAGCCTTCTATATGATCTCGACGACAAACTTTGCTGGTCTAAGAATTGCATGATTCACGTACTAGTTAACGGGTCTTCCTCATATCCTTGGCTACAATTCTCTTGATAACACTTTGTTCACAATTGAAATGAATTCGCTCGAACAAAGCTGCTACCTGGGCTCCATCACGATTTGTCGAAAACAGCTAGCCATTATTGATCTCATTCAGTGGCCTTGTCTGAACCAGCTGATGATGCCGATTATCATCTTCTCGAACGTAAATTCTAAGCCATTTTTTGATGAAAGTGAATTGCGCTGTGACCTTTCCTTGCAAGGATACGCTGATAGCTGGTGTTGATTGTTGGGACGGTGAACTATGTGTGTGTCGAACGAAGAACAAGAACACCTACAGAAGAAACGAGATCCCAGTGCAACCTACCAATCGCAAGACTGTAGTTAAGCACCGTTTCTGCTCGAAGGCGAGGAATTTTTAAACTTTATACTACTTTTAATAATGATACGAAAAACATAAAAAGTATTCGTAAGAATAAAGCATAGACTTTTTAACAAAATGAGATGGAGACTTGCAGTTTTCTTTATCTTGAAGCCAAGACTCGACAAAATCCGTCTGTGGAAAGTTTATGTACGGCGCACCACCAGTAAGTGGTGATCTTTGAAAGAGAAGCTTGTAAACTACGAAAAAACAATGGATTTCAAACTCAAATATCATCAGTTGATAGCTCGCATGCGCCTGTTTATAAAACACTAGTCTATATACTACCACAAAATGTTAATTGAGCACTATTTCGTTGCTGTAAATTTAAGCAGCCAGATACCGGTGCACCGGTAAATGGTCCAGCACTATTACAATTACTAGTCAGTTCATAACATTCATAAGTATCAGCTGTCCAAATACAACAATTATTTGATATTGTACTTTTATACGTTTTACCAACAAATTGTGATTTAATACATGTTAAAACTGCATTTGTCGATTGACTGTAGCCCGATGCACAAACACCAGCTGATCCATCTAAATAATAACAATGACCATTCCATGAAACTTCATAATTTTGACATGTGGCTACGACCGATGTTGTCGTATTACAAGCTAAAATTTGTGTAAAATACACGAGTTAATGATCGAAAGATGATGCAAAAATCGGATGAAGGTGAAAGTATAAGGGGACATATTACTTCATTCATTTCGAATGTAAGGCACTTACATGGTGCAACCGTACTATTGCAGGTGAGTGTCGAGGAACTTGGTACTGCTACTGATGTAGTAATGGTACTTGTTATTGATGTCGACGTCATAGCTGCCAATTTAAAATTAGAAGTACTCATAAGAATGTACTTTGAAAAACCAGCGTGAATTCGTAGGAAAGAACTTAGTTATTATGGTACTGACGCTGTAGTTGTGCGTGTAGCACCTGTAATAGAGATGAGACACTTGATATAAAATAACTTTTTATTGGCAAAGGGAGGTCTTTAGCTTTAAGGCCTTTCCAACGACATATTGTTGCAACAAACTTAACCAGTTATTTTTGTGAATAAATTTCGTATAAACGCATTGTTACTTGTTCATCTAGCTATTTCTATCGTTTTTTCATGTTCAATGGCTAAATAACGCATAAAAATGCATTTAATTGTAAAGTATCTGCATTTAAATACATTCTCGTTTATTTCTGATTCCTGGATTCCAAGAAGATTCCTAGAAAATCGAAATTCTGGTAAAAACTGGAAGCTGTGCCGTACGCTCACGCGAGACTGTGATCGAGACTGGTGCCATTTTTAACAAGTTCACGAAATCGGAACCCGAATGGGAACCAAAATTTTCGAAGAAATCATAAAAAACGCAAAATCTGACCAAACAACCTGAAAAATCAATATTTTTCTCAAAAACATCCTTCGCATTGGAAAAAAGTTGCGATTTTTCCTTGCGTCTCCTATGTAACTACAATGCAATTCTGTTTTTTTAATCAACAAAGAAAAGATACATTGCAGTCACATAGGATAGAAGACGCATTCTGAAAAGAGACGCACAGGAAAAGTCTCAATATCTCCACTCTGTTCCATCTGTAGGGTGTCGATTCCGTAATGTTATTTTTCTTGAAAGGATCGATCTATACCCACAGTAATATAGTTCTTTTTCTTTGTCTTATTCAAATATTAAGAGAGCGTGCACCACAGCGTCGAGCAAGGCCAAAGCATGAATAAGATTTGAATTTTTAAAATTTTCCACTGGAATTTCTGAAATACTAAGACTACATTTTCACTAATTTTTCTACATTCAGACAGTGAAAAAAAGAAGTTTTTGAGTGAGTAGTTTTATAGAACAAAATTTTGTCTCTCTCACTTTTCTAATGTTCCGTTTAGGAGTTATAACCTTCGGTCGGAAAGGTCTATAAAAAATTAGAGGTTTTTGTCGATTCTGAAATATTCAGAGCGAGTTTTCCTTCTCCTCGGTTCAGTCTCTGTACATGACGACCTCAACACACTTAAAAGTTTAATTCTACTGAGCTCACATTTTTACTAGAAGTATCGGAGACCATATATCAAATCTCTTTCCAATCAATAAGTATGAAACGTACAGCTAACACAAGGTCAAAACACGGTTAGTTCAGTCACAAAAAGCTAAATAAACATTACTGAGTAAAATGGCGTTTTCTTTTGAAAAAATATTGCTTGGTTGCTGAGAAACGAGCATTTTAAAATTTCGACTTACTTTTAACAAATCCGACGTATATTAACAACTTTGTGTTGCTCATATCTGAACAACCATAGAGGATAAAAGAGCTCACAGTTTCAGCATAAATAGAACCAACATTCTTCTTCAATTCAAAACAAACCCGAACTCTGACGATGGTCTCATTCTCATACACCGACCCGTGTCTGGTACGTTCTAAACGCATATTTTGTCCATTTTGGAATTATATTGTATCGAAGCGAAACATTTTCATAAAATTTTGAAAACACTATTAGGTAGAAAACCTTGAATACTACAAGCACTAAACGTTTGAGCTCCTAGTTCAGTTTTGTTTTTCAAATAAAAACTGCATAAAAATTAGCACTTTTAGGTGAAAATGTTATTTTTAAAAATCGATTTTTTAGTGTAATGTAGAACATACCAGACACAGGTCGGTGTATGAGAATGAGACCATCGT